TGTTTACTAACTACTTTTTTTTTTCCCCACACCACACACACACACACACACACACACACCAGGAAGCAGCCCGTGACAGCTGACTAACTCCCAGGTACCTATTTACTGCTAGGTAACAGGGGCACTTAGGGTGAAAGAAACTTTGCCCATTTGTTTCTGCCTCGTGCGGGAATCGAACCCGCGCCACAGAATTACGAGTCCTGTGCGCTATCCACCAGGCTACGAGGCCCCCATGTGTGTGTGTGTGTGTGTGTGTGTGTGTGTGTGTGTGTGTGTGTGTGTGTGTGTGTGTGTGTGTGTGTGTGTGATGTCTCACAGCCTCAACACACAGGCCAGATTTGTTTGGTATTACCTTTTTAGCATATGGTAATTAACGTTACAATTGCAACCTGTTATGAAAAGTAGCGTCTGTCACACGTTTTCTATGCACCGGCCTCGATAGGTTAGGTGGGTTGCTTGGGCTCGTACGTTTAGCATAGGGAAGGTTGAATTGTACTTTTTTTGCTTACATAGAAGCATATCAAGAGACCAGGCTACTTACCTATACTTTCAGGCGTGTGCAGGAGACTAACTTAGACCCTTGTGCATGAGTAAGGGACTACTAGTCTAGACCTTCATGCAAAAGCAAGGGACTACTAGCCCAGACCTTCATACAAGATCAAGGGACTACTAGCCTAGACCTTCATACAAGAGCAAGGGACTACTAGCCCAGACCTTCATACAAGAGCAAGGGACTACTAGCCTAGACCTTCATACAAGAACAAGGGACTACTAGCCCAGACCTTCATACAAGAGCAAGGGACTACTAGCCCAGACCTTCATACAAGAGCAAGGGACTACTAGCCTAGACCTTCATACAAGAGCAAGGGACTACTAGCCCAGACCTTCATACAAGAGCAAGGGACTACTAGCCCAGACCTTCATACAAGAACAAGGGACTACTAGCCCAGACCTTCATACAAGAGCAAGGGACTACTAGCCTAGACCTTCATACAAGAGCAAGGGACTACTAGCCTAGACCTTCATACAAGAGTAAGGGACTACTAGCCCAGACCTTCATACAAGAGCAAGGGACTACTAGCCCAGACCTTCATACAAGAGCAAGGGACTACTAGCCCAGACCTTCATACAAGAGCAAGGGACTACTAGCCCAGACCTTCATACAAGAGCAAGGGACTACTAGCCCAGACCTTCATACAAGAGCAAGGGACTACTAGCCCAGACCTTCATACAAGAACAAGGGACTACTAGCCCAGACCTTCATACAAGAACAAGGGACTACTAGCCAGACCTTCATACAAGAGCAAGGGACTACTAGCCCAGACCTTCATACAAGAACAAGGGACTACTAGCCCAGACCTTCATACAAGAGCAAGGGACTACTAGCCTAGACCTTCATACAAGAGCAAGGGACTACTAGCCCAGACCTTCATACAAGAACAAGGGACTACTAGCCCAGACCTTCATACAAGAGCAAGGGACTACTAGCCCAGACCTTCATACAAGAGCAAGGGACTACTAGCCTAGACCTTCATACAAGAGCAAGGGACTACTAGCCCAGACCTTCATACAAGAACAAGGGACTACTAGCCCAGACCTTCATACAAGAACAAGGGACTACTAGCCAGACCTTCATACAAGAGCAAGGGACTACTAGCCCAGACCTTCATACAAGAGCAAGGGACTACTAGCCCAGACCTTCATACAAGAACAAGGGACTACTAGCCTAGACCTTCATACAAGAGCAAGGGACTACTAGCCCAGACCTTCATACACGAGCAAGGGACTACTAGCCCAGACCTTCATACAAGAGCAAGGGACTACTAGCCCAGACCTTCATACAAGATCAAGGGACTACTAGCCCAGACCTTCATACAAGAGCAAGGGACTACTAGCCCAGACCTTCATACACGAGCAAGGGACTACTAGCCCAGACCTTCATACAAGAACAAGGGACTACTAGCCAGACCTTCATACAAGAGCAAGGGACTACTAGCCCAGACCTTCATACAAGAGCAAGGGACTACTAGCCCAGACCTTCATACAAGAACAAGGGACTAATGTAGATCCTTGTGCATGAGTAAGGAACTAATCTAGACCCCTATGCATGAGTAAGGAACTAATCTAGACCCCTATGCATGAGCAAAGGGAGCCACCTGCTTAGACCTTCAGAGAGAAGCAGTAGCAACACAGACATTACCGAGTGGGACAACTCATTGTTCCTCAGGACGAGCAGCGCACAGTTTAAGCCAACATGAAATTTTGTTGACCAGACCACACACTAGAAATTGAAGGGACGACGACGTTTCGGTCCGTCCTGGACCATTCTCAAGTCGATTGTGGATGGTCCACAATCGACTTGAGAATGGTCCAGGACGGACCGAAACGTCGTCGTCCCTTCAATTTCTAGTGTGTGGTCTGGTCAACATACTTCAGCCACGTTATTGTGACTCATCGCCTGCATGAAATTTTGCCAAATCTGATATAATTTGCCCCTAAGAAAAGGAGTCGTTACATCTCCAGAAGCCCATGATGGGTGGGACAAGGCGCAGGAGTTGGAGGAAGAGAAGGAGAAGGAGGAAGAGAAGGAGAAGGAGGTTTAGGAAGGCCCCGCATGGATGAGTCAGCCATGGAGTCACTCATGCGTCTTGCAAGCTCCTTTCTTTGCTGACGCACCTTCTCGCCTGTTCATTGGTCAGAAACGGCCTTAGCATCCGTGACGTGGCGCTCGCTCATTGGTTGCATACCACCTCATCGCTCTATGACGTCAATGGCCAACTGGCGAGTCATTGGTGTGTTCCGAGGGCCTCTTGACGTCACGCGCACGTGGGCCGGGTTCGAGATTGTTATCCAGGGTGCACTAAGAGGCCCTTTAAATACTTAGTATTCGAGACACGTGTAGTTCATGATCATAACTGCAAACAGTTGTGCAACTGTGTCTCGTTGAATGTCATGTCCTAATTAGGAATAGTTTAATTTGCATATAATATGGTGCGTATGATAATCAATATAAAACGTACGACGTCTGTGACTACTGAAGACACGTGGTTACAGCTGTGATAACTAAGTTATTCGCTATGATGATTATATCAAAATCACCAGTTGTTTATCCCTCCCCAGGTTAACCTAAATTCCGAAATGTTTATCATCCTACAATAGCCAAAAGCTAGATGTATATAACCACTTGAAGAAATCGCTGTTAAAAAAAGCCCTCAACCTTTCCCCTCAATGAACTACAGTTGAACTAATCTTTCTCTTCCTGTTAGGCTTGGTGGCATTACCGTAGCACAGCAACACAAATCGCTGTACCAGCCTTCCTGTCCTCCTACAGTGAAGGAAATTCTGCCCGAGTACTTAGGTCAGCTGGCAGGCGTTCACGATCCTAATTTAATAAACTGTGCCACCGAGTGGGCCTCTCGTGCAGGCCCATCACCTCAAGCAAAGCTCACAAGCAATCCAGCTGGGATGGCCCCATTGCAGACCAAGTTGCTGCAGAGTGCCTGGGTGCTGCAACAACACACTATGACATTGCTCGCCTCATAGCAGTAGCAGCCCCACATGCAGGGGACTTTCTATTAGCAACCCCAATGTATGGCATCTGGCACATTTCTCACGCAGCACTCCCGATGAATTGCTGACCTTTGCATAGCTGCTCTAATCCACACCAAATAATCAAGAGGAACCACCACAAGAGGGTGTCAAGAGGAACCAACACAAGAGGATGTCAAGAGGAACCAACACAAGAGGATGTCAAGAGGAACCAACACAAGAGGATGTCAAGAGGAACCACCACAAGAGGGTGTCAAGAGGAACCAACACAAGAGGGTGTCAAAGGAACTGCCACAAGAGGGTGTCAAGAGGTAGCAACACAAGAGGATGTCAAGAGGAACCAACACAAGAGGATGTCAAGAGGAACCGCCACAAGAGGGTGTCAAGAGGTAGCAACACAAGAGGATGTCAAGAAGAACCAACACAAGAGGATGTCAAGAGGTAGCAACACAAGAGGATGTCAAGAAGAACCAACACAAGAGGATGTCAAGAGGTAGCAACACAAGAGGATGTCAAGAAGAACCAACACAAGAGGATGTCAAGAGGTAACAACACAAGAGGATGTCAAGAGGCAACAATCTAAGAGGAAGGTCAAACAGCCAAGCAAGCAAAGAGACTGCTAAGAAAGACATGTATTCTGCTCTATCAGATCCTGACGTAAATGTAACTTAAAGCTCCCGCTTATTATTAGAAGTGGTTGTGCCGTTCTATATATACTCTGCTCTAGTGTCTGCTGGTCCACGGACCACGTCCCAGTAACTCTGCTCTAGTGTCTGCTGGTCCACGGACCACGTCCCAGTAACTCTGCTCTAGTGTCTGCTGGTCCACGGACCACGTCCCACTAAATCTGCTCTAGTGTCTGCTGGTCCACGGACCACGTCCCACTAACTCTGCTCTTGTGTCTGCTGGTCCACGGACCACGTCCCAGTAACTCTGCTCTTGTGTCTGCTGGTCCACGGACCACGTCCCAGTAACTCTGCTCTTGTGTCTGCTGGTCCACGGACCACGTCCCACTAACTCTGCTCTAGTGTCTGCTGGTCCACGGACCACGTCCCAGTAACTCTGCTCTAGTGTCTGCTAGTCCACGGACCACGTCCCACTAACTCTGCTCTAGTGTCTGCTAGTTATGACTGCTAAGGACAGGTTGATAGATCAAAATAGTTTGGTTAGGTTAAAGAAAATGACAATTTCTTGACAAAATAAAACTAAAAACTAGATATCGTGTACCTAAACAACACATCAATATTGTCGCAACATTCACACCAACGAACAGCCGCCAACGATATCGGAAAAAAATAAATAAATATAATAAAAACAGAAAATTTTACTCACTCGGGAGTAAACACTCACTCACAAGGGAGCCGGTCGGCCGAGCGGACAGCACGCTGGACTTGTGACCCTGTGGTCCTGGGTTCGATCCCAGGCGCCGGCGAGAAACAATGGGCAGAGTTTCTCTCACCCTATGCCCCTGTTACCTAGCAGTAAAATAGGTACCTGGGTGTTAGTCAGCTGTCACGGGCTGCTTCCTGGGGGTGGAGGCCTGGTCGAGGACCGGGCCGCGGGGACACTAAAGCCCCGAAATCATCTCAAGATAACCTCAAGATAACCACTCGCAGGCAATATAAAGAAAACAAAAAAGTCCTTCATCTGCTCTTGGTGATCAAAGAACGCGTACAACTGCTACTACTCCAACTCTGTGTTTACACACAAACACTCTTAAAGCCATGAATGAAGGCCTTTGAGATGGGAGGAATACTCACAAAAACACCAGTCGTGACACGTGCATATGTTTACATCCCAGTATCCATTGATTGCTTCCCCACGTGCTTCCTACAGGCTCCAGGAGGACACCCCGGTATATTGGACACTTAGGAGAGTACACATGGTCAGTATGTTGGTGATACATGTCAAGTGGTTAATTCAGTGACACAGGCAGTGGTGAGCGGATGGTCAGGCGAACAGCCAGACAAAGAGAGCTATGATGTGAGTGAGAGAGTGGGTGAGAGAGCCCCACCCACACTCAACGCTAGGGAGCGTTGAGTGTGGGTGGGGCTTAAGGCTCTGTGAGTGGGGCAGTGTGTGCTGGGTACGGTTGATGCTTGGGGCAGTGTGTGTTGGGTACAGCTGATGCTTGGGGCAGTGTGTGTTGGGTACAGTTGATGCTTGGGGCAGTGTGTGTTGGGTACAGTTGATGCTTGGGGCAGTGTGTGTTGGGTACAGTTGATACTTGGGGCAGTGTGCTGGGTACAGCTGATGCTTGGAGCAGTGTGCTGGGTACAGCTGATACTTGGGGCAGTGTGCTGGGTACAGCTGATGCTTGGAGCAGTGTGCTGGGTACAGCTGATACTTGGGGCAGTGTGCTGGGTACAGCTGATGCTTGGAGCAGTGTGCTGGGTACAGCTGATACTTGGGGCAGTGTGTGCTGGGTACAGTTGATACTTGGGGCAGTGTGCTGGGTACAGTTGATACTTGGGGCAGTGTGCTGGGTACAGTTGATACTTGGGGCAGTGTGTGCTGGGTACAGTTGATACTTGGGGCAGTGTGTGCTGGGTACAGTTGATACTTGGGGCAGTGTGTGCTGGGTACAGTTGATACTTGGGGCAGTGTGTGCTAGGTACAGCTGATGCTTGGAGCAGTGTGCTGGGTACAGCTGATACTTGGGGCAGTGTGTGCTGGGTACAGCTGATGCTTGGAGCAGTGTGCTGGGTACAGCTGATACTTGGGGCAGTGTGTGCTGGGTACAGCTGATGCTTGGAGCAGTGTGCTGGGTACAGCTGATACTTGGGGCAGTGTGTGCTGGGTACAGTTGATACTTGGGGCAGTGTGTGCTAGGTACAGCTGATGCTTGGAGCAGTGTGCTGGGTACAGCTGATACTTGGGGCAGTGTGTGCTGGGTACAGTTGATACTTGGGGCAGTGTGTGCTGGGTACAGCTGATGCTTGGGGCAGTGTGCTGGGTACAGCTGATACTTGGGGCAGTGTGTGCTGGGTACAGTTGATACTTGGGGCAGTGTGCTGGGTACAGTTGATACTTGGGGCAGTGTGCTGGGTACAGTTGATACTTGGGGCAGTGTGCTGGGTACAGTTGATACTTGGGGCAGTGTGTGCTGGGTACAGTTGATACTTGGGGCAGTGTGCTGGGTACAGTTGATACTTGGGGCAGTGTGCTGGGTACAGCTGATGCTTGGGGCAGTGTGCTGGGTACAGTTGATGCTTGGGGCAGTGTGTGCTGGGTACAGTTGATACTTGGGGCAGTGTGCTGGGTACAGTTGATACTTGGGGCAGTGTGCTGGGTACAGCTGATGCTTGGAGCAGTGTGCTGGATACAGCTGATATTTGTGTGTGTAAGGGGGGTGGGAAGGGAAGAAGGGATCTGAATCAAGGGTCTCAGGATGTGGTATGAGCCAAACCACTTCTGGCGATGAAGTGGAGTTGTTGGTCTACGTTACGACTGGTCGGTAATATTAAGTTCCTTGCACGTCTGTGAACATGTGAACACACACACACACCAATATACTCTGCTGCCATTTGCCAATATATATAAAGCTGCCACTTACAAGTTTACGACCACCAACTGGCTCATTAACAGCTGAATGAAAAAGAAAAAATTACAACACCACCTACAGAGGAACACAAAACGCACCAGGCGCCAGATTCACGAAAGCACTTACGCAAGTACTTACGAACGTGTACATCTTTCCTCAATCTTTGACGACTTTGGTTACATTTATTAAACACTTTACAAACATGAAAACTTCCCAATCAACTGTTGTTATTGTTATAAACAGCCTCCTGGTGCTTCGGAGCTCATTAACTGTTTAATAATTGGAAACAAAGCCGTCAAAGATTGAGAAAAGATGTACAGGTTCGTAAGTGTTTGCGTAAGTGCTTTCGTGAATCTGGCGCCAGGACTGCAGAAGTGATACGAAAAATCACTGTAGCCTAAGAAAGGCTTCACTAACCAATTACAAACAACAAACTGCCTAACAACCAATTAGAAAACAAGGTAAAGAACGCCAAACGATAACGGGACAAGCAAGAACCTCAAGAACCAA